ACGCATCACGAGCAACTGAGCTGTGTTTACAAAGCCGAGCTACCTCTCTGCAAGGAACATATTACTATCACACTCTAATCAGTGAGAAGAGCTGTGTTGTCATGACAACGAGGTGTTTTAATCAGAGCCACCCTAACGAGAGGCCATACTCGTCATACAGATCTCTAATATTCCTCATGTTTGGTTCATTAAATGATTACGTATTTCCCATTTATATGTTCCGTGATACAAGGATACCTATCTCAGATTGTTTCCCACTAAAAAAGATTTTTAATTTTTTAAGTACTTTTTTGTATGTGTCCTTCATCACCGTGTACCATATTTTAATATTTTGCTGATGTACATTCCTCATGCATTTCCTGTGCATATCTTTACTACTTTATCGATTGGCATCTCTCTTTTTTGATTGTATTGATTAACCTCTCTTTTTATAGTGATAAGGAAGGGCTGGGAACAATATTAAAATATCACTATCTTCTTTTTTTGTTAATTTTCTTCCAAACCAAAGCAAATATCCTAATGCAGTGCCAGGCCAAAAGGGGCCTGAGGGGAGTTTCTAGAACCCAAGCAGCACTTTTACGTAGACATCACTTGAGGCAATAAGGAGTCAGTCAGTTCAACTGGAAACTTAGAAATAAAAGTGTCTATGTATGTGTATATGCATATACACTGATACCACATTAAAACCACTGACAGGGGAAGTGAATAACATTATTATGTAGTTACAATGGCACTTGTCAAATGGTGGGATATATTAGCCAGCAAGTGAATATGTGTTCATGTGTTGGTTGCAGGAAAAATAGACAATCGAAAAGATCTGAGTGGCTTTGACAAGGGCAAAATAGTGATGACTAGATGGCTGGGTCAGAGGATCTCCAAAACGATTATGTGGGTTGTTCCCAGTATACAGTGTTTAGTTACTACCAAATGTTGTGCAAAGAAAGACAACCAGGGTCATGGGTGCCCAAGACTCATTGATGTGAAGACTAGCCTACCTGGTCTGATTACACAGAAGAGCTACTGTAGCTCAAATTTCTGAAAAGGTTAATTCGGGCCATGACAGAAAGGTGTCAGAACACTCAATGCATCGCAGTTTGTTGTATATGGGGCTGTGTAGCAGCAGACTGGTTAGAGTGCCCATCATGTCCACCGCCAAAAGTGTCTTCAAACGCATCAGAACTGGTCCATGGAGCAATGGAGGGAGGTTGCCTGGTCCAATGAGTCCCTTTTCTTTAAGTTGGATGGTTGGGTACATGTGCTACCTGGGGAAGATGGCAGGCAGGTGGAGGCACTGTTATGCTCTTGGCAATATTCTGCAGGGAAACCTTGGGTCCTGGCATTTATGTGGATGTCACTTTGATATATACCACTTACCTAAAGATTGTTTCAGGCCACATACGCCCCTTCTTGTCAATGGTGTTCATTGATGGCAGTGGCCGCTTTCAGCACCCTTTCACACTGCAAAAATTGTTCAGGAATGGTTTGAGGAACATGACAAAGAGGTCAAGGTGTTGTCTTGGCCTCCACATTCTTCAGATCTCAATCCAATTGAGCATCTGTGGTTGTGCTGCAACAACAAATTCTATCCATGGAGGCTCCACCTCGCAACTTGCAGGACTAAAAGGATCTGCTGTTAATGTCTTGGTGCCAGATACCACAGGACACATCCAGAGGTCTTGTGGAGTCGGTGCCTCAATGCGTTAGCAGCATGATGGGACCTACACAATATTAGGCAGGTACTTTTAATGTTCTGTCTGATTAGTGTATGAAGGAATAAATGTATGTGTGTGAGTGTATGCATGTAGGTGTGTCCCGTGTGTTTATATGTGGTTGATTAATTAATCATGTGTAAGATGTTAGGGTGTATGCAGTAGTATTTTATGCATGCAAAAGGGTGAGGTCAGTATTTTCTTGGACCCCACTTTGGTTTTGAGGATTAAGTCAAAATGATAAATATTTTTCTTCTGCTTGTTAGCTTTTTATTTATTTAATTTCATTTTGTGTGTGCAAAAAAATATATATATTATTTTCTGAAGAGGAAGGTGTTATTTAAAATAGAGATATTTCAAAGGTACTGACCTAAAAAGTATTATGTGGAGAGTTAATTTTGTTTCTTTAAAGAAACACACAGATTGCTGAAGTGCCATAGGGGTTAACAGCATGCCCCCTTTTTTCTTAATTTATAAAAGTGCTAATTTAAAGAGAAATCGGCTCTTTTATAAACCAACTTGATATCCCCTACCAGTTGTCACCTAGACACCCAAAGACTTGCTTTCTTCTTCTAGTCTTATAGTGAATCATTGGTTTCTATGCTTCTCAATGTGAAACATTGCTGATAGATCACAGAGATTGCTACATATATGTCCTGTGTGCTTCTCTATGAGAAAATGGAGAGGCACTGCAGTGAGACAGCTGAGCTGCTTTGAGAAGAAAAACGGGGAAAATGTATTCTTGTTTAACGCCAGAGTGTTCTTTTAAATGTTGCGTGGGCAAATAAATGAAATATAGTTGTGATTATTTCATGAAAGTCTCCAAAGATAAAGAATTTGGTACAATGTAAATCCTTATAACCTCAATCCATTCTACACTTAAAATCAAATCTAACAGATAATTAAATGCAATATATATCGTGCGTGATACAGTTATAAATATTGTTTACATGATAATGATAATTTATTCCTTGCACTCTGTTATAGAAAAATAATTAAAGCTCCTTAGTTTTTTTAGATGGAATAAAACCAGGGATAGAAGTAATTATTAAAAGTTAGATTCTGTATTAAGTTCTAACGACAATTCCTATTTCACTTTAATGAATTGGCAGATATAGATCTGGTTTGGCACTTAACCACAGCAGGTGACCTGTAAATCTGCAAGAATGTTTAAATTGCCATCATCATTGGCTAGCCAATATGTGTGCCCATTGCTCACAAACCAGTTTTCTTCAGGCTTAAGTCTGTATTACTCCAAATCACAGACTGGCATTCTGCAATACAGAGGATGAGTATTGACATTTTTAACCCATTCATCACCAAGGAGCTTGAAAAACATAGCAGAGCATGGGTGTCATTAAGTCATGGAAAGTCAGAGCTGGATACATTAATTTAATTTTCAGAATAAACCAGAGAGGTGGTTCATTACATTTATTTTCCTTCCAAACAATTCTTGGAGCCATTCCTTTAATTAAATGAATACATGTGTAAGAAAGGGTCCTGACCTCTAGGTTGCCATCATAATTATATTCACCCCCACCCCACCATACATGGGGTGGGGGAAGGAGCAATCTTTTATTAACCTTCATAACACTATCTATGATGTGAGAGAAACTATATAATTTGGTTCCTCTGGGTTTATAAGGGGTCTGTGGAGCCGTATTTATTTCATTGTATTTATTATTAAATGTTTACCTTTTGGCTGCAGATGTGATATGTATTTCTGGCCATTCACTTATAAAAAGCGGGCATACTGAAATCTCTAAATGTGCCTCCAACTGTGACAGTTTGCAGGTAATTTTGTAAATTAGCAGTGTTTCATAAATATTTTAATATTTTAGCAAACACTGATTTTCTCGTAATAGGGCAAGCATATTCTCTACAATTCTCCAAATTAACTCCTGAATCGTATGTAATAAATATCTGAATTGTGATTACTGGGAATACTGTGGAATTATCCCCAAATTTTGCATAGGGCTCAAAGAATAACCTTGACCTTGAGTAATGTGTAACATGTTTAAGTGGGCAGACAGTGAATCTCACGGGATAGTAAGGATGCAGAGGTCACGAGACATGATTGCCTGCCTGCGCATATGCATGAATGGAAAGGAACAGGGTTAAATTTTTTTGGCAAGAGAGCTACACATATGTTTAGGAAACTTACATAAACCCTTAAACCCTATTTCTCTCTAGGCTTGAAGAAAAGATTTTTAGATCTGGTGGAAGTAAAATATCTAATATCTGAAATCTGAACTCTCTCACTTCCATACAAATAACTAATACTATACAGCTGAATCAGATGAATGTAATGCATTTAGATGTGTAAGATAAGTGCTTTTTACAAGGCACTTGGGTCTGAACAAGATTTCAAAGATATAGTGGAAATTCGGTAACAGCCTCCCTGCAGACATCTAGAAAAAGGACACTGCAAATTTCCTACTCTAAACAAATATATATATTTTGCCAAGCCATGAAAAACATTAATGAGGCTCCAAAACTTAAATTTTTAGTCTAACTAACCCTAAAATTCAAAAGACGTTATTGAGAAACCTGGGTATAATTCTGGATCAGCAACAGTACGTTCTCCATTTTTTCTTCTACAAATCAGCCTATTTTCTATCTCCACACTTTTCTCTTCCCTTTCAGTATGGCCCAACATCCTTGTAAGCCTCACTTGCTCTCCTCTTTTATTTAATTGACTCCTTTATCTTTTATTTTTTAAGCTTTCCTGGTTATATCATCATCTTGCTCATATCTCTGCAATTTGTTCCATAATCGCTTTGTCCTTATGCTTTCTTTACTTCTTCTTTACTTTTTTTTTACTTGTTACATACTACACATGAAATCACTTTCCTGGAAATAACATCACTGGATAAACCATTGGCAATCACATATAACATGTATTAATCTTTTTTTATGTGTAACTCTGTTTTCTGCATCTCAAACCCTTTGTGTAAACCATTATACAGGGTATGGTGTCCATTAAGAAAAGTAAACATCACAATCGCCGGGTTAACTTGAGCATCACTCTTGAGGCTATCCAATAAGAACCTGAAAAGTCTAACACTCACCATAGAATTACTTAGGCAGCCAGTCACAGGGATCCTTAGCAGCTCTTGCTTAAGCGCTTATATGCCCTGGTGCTGATGATTATGATGGGTCCAAATACAAAGTCTTATAGATAGAAACATTATAGATAGAAACCATTACTTTCAAGTGTCTTTTGTCTGGATGAGGTGATTCTGGAGGGACACTTGTAGGATGTCCAGTCTATCTTTCCATCATACAACCCAACAACTCTCAACTCCTCTACCTTACTCATCACAAACTCTAAATCCTCTCTTGGCCTGACTCATGTGTCCCTCCTTACTGTAAGACAGAAGCTTGTTCCTGGTTTACCGCCTCAAACAGAGAAAGAGGTGGATGTACTGCATGTCACAGTAGAAGGGGGTTTGTTGTACTGTCACATGATAACAGAACGATTCTGGGCTTTTAAATAGATTAAAGCAGCAAGATCATTTGCACAGTGCACAAACCCAGCTTTACATTAACTATTTTATTGCCAGCTAGTCCACCCAAGTTTTGTTCCATTCCATTCGCATACTCCATTTACCCGTTCCAAGATTCTCTGATTTGTCAATCTGTTCTATCAACAACACATTGCAACATAAGGTCTGCACAGTGAGAGGGAGCAACACCACAGAATCGTGAATAAATCACAAATCAATTCCTTACAAACTAACAGATACATTTCTGAGACTATAATCCTCCTTCGCAGCCCTGGTTTGTCTTTAGATGTGTATTTGAAATGTGTATTTTATTCATTTATTAGTAAGGTTTTATAAAGTAATTTTTATAGTACTTTATACTTGCTGGAATGAGCAGATTTTTACCTGCTTTTAAGGTTTTGATTCAAACAATCTTCATAGCCACTGATTGTAATAATAGTTATATTGTCATTTATCACTGAGATATTTGAATCTTAATTTCCTGTCATATTCACTAATGTACTGGCTGACTTTTAAGGGCTGAGTTGGGATTGATCATATTTTGAGATACCTCTGACCATTAGAGCATGTATCAAAGGAACAATAAACCCGACATAAAAACGATTAACAGTAATCAATATCTAATAATCAGATATGAGTGTTGACTAAGGTAAGTGGGGCAGATGTCCTACATCAAAGAGTGTTGTAATTTTCCTTAGTAGGCATAATGAAAATCATGAGGTCAAAAAGTAGGTGTCATATTGAACCCAGAATTAACATTTTCTTGAGCTTTTTTAGAATATTAGAGAAGCTAATTCCATTCCCTCACGGGGTTTTTACAGCTCATTTGAGAAGCTTTTCCAAACTGGCTGTTTTATCTTCCACTGGTTTTAGAATACAAGAAGTTATGAAGTTATTCTTGCTTTCTCCATACTTATATGGACCTATAGAATGAAAGAGAAAAATTGAGAGTGATTTTCTTTTTTTTTCTTTTCAGTCATGAACACCTCATCATGATTCCATACAGCTTCAAGTCTGTAGACAACATCATACATCAGAGTTCTATTAAACATGTCCAATTATGCAGATTCTCCTAAATTCATTTCTAAAGGAAAGAAAGATTGATTGCAAATGCAAAGTATTTACATAGACAGCGGTTCTCCAAATCTCACAATTGCTAGTATGAATCGAAAAGACGGTATTCTTGTTTGTAAACTTCATACCTGGAAAATGAAACGCTCCGTCAATAAGAGAAACTGTTTGTGTCGAAGCAAAGAAAACGTGAAGCTAAACAAACCAACAGACGTCATTTAACAAAGAAAAGCTTAATGGCAACATCATTTATAAAGTGAGAAAAATGGTTTACAACATCAATAGCAACTCAAAGCTTAAAAAAAGTGGTCTTATAAAACACATTTCTTTGAATCAATCCACATCTAGATGCTATTTTTTTATATTCTATTTAAGACTTATAAAAAAACATATGTGAGATATTTCATAAGTATATCATGCATTGATGGTGCAGAATTCTTATGAGGTCTCTCGATTAAAATGATGGTTGATATACTTAAAGAAACCCTCTGGCGATCACAATCACTTCTCTCTTTGAAGTGTTTATGGTACAGAGTGCATCTTCCCTCGGTTCACTTTTAAGCTTTTACTTTCACCATTATCAACAGGGTTGTACACTAAACACCAAAATCTAGTGAAAATGGCCGACATCATTGGTTATTCTCTTATTTACTAAAGTCAAATACAGTCATATTTCGGGTTGCGTTACGTGAATTTGCAACAATCACCCAGATGCATTCAGTGTCCGGATTAGAAGCAGCGCTTTCACATACGAACCCTAAATAAAGTAAAGGAAATGGAATATTCACAAAGCACCAGTGTTATTAAGACATTTGGGATTGAATGCATCGTTTTGGCTGCAACTCAACTCAAGGATAATAGCCTCTAGGGGACAGGCTCAAATTACATCAGTAGTAGTGCCATATGGTGTTAATATATACACTCCAGGTTAGAATACCGGTCCATCCACTAAAACAGTAAATGTCCTTTGGCAAGACACCTAATGTTATATACCCTGGCCACTTCAATAATATGAGAGTAACACAAACCAATAGAGTCATGGCTGCTTGGACGTTACCCAGATTTACAAGGTCTGTGTCAGATGGTAGGGAACCAGGGAAAGCTGATGACAAGTCTAGGGGCTATGAACCCCAAGTTTGGGTAGTGGCTTCAAAAGATTCCAGGTGGGATATCTAAGATTGCTGTCCAAAAGAAGGCAGTTCTAGCAACATCTAAGATACTGTGCAGACTCTCAAAACACTGGTAGAGGACCCGAGAATGAGCAATAAAATATACCACCCAGGAGGGATGAGAAAATTTATTTTATTTTTTACAGTTCAGTGATTTTCCCTTTGCAGGCACTTTTTTGTTGGTCTGAATCATTTTTCCAAATATTTTTAATGGACAATATTTGCACAAATGGATCTGTCCAAATGAATAAGTGTCAAAGGTCACCAAATTTCTGGAATTTCAATTTTTTTTCTACCGTTCACAAGTCAAATACCAGCTTAACAGGTGTTGTAGAAATAGAAATGACTGACAGAGGGGGATAAACAATGATAAAATTAAATAAAGAAATTATAGGAAAACTAATAATTAAAAAACATTGTCAAGTTTCCACAAGAGAATAATTACATTTTCTAAATCCATAGACTATTAATAAAAAAAAGAATAAAATGGCAACAGTGGTACAAATATACGGTAGCTATATAATCAGATAATACCTGTGGCTTTGGGTGCAGGGTGTATCTATTTACTACCAAAACATTCAAGCAGTTTCATGTAATAATACCTTATTACCATGCCGTGTAATTGTTTTTTATATGTTAAATTGTAACAATTTAACTAGTTTATTAGCAGACAAGCGATGTGCTAGGAATCTGGGACCTTAGTAGTGAAAAGAGCCCCGTCAGAATGATTTACTGAGCATATCGCTGACATTAATATCTGTACAGTCCATCGAAACCTACATTTTAAGAGAGTTATTTGAGATATATCCATGAAAATCTATCAAGCCGACCCATTGAAAGGTCAACAGAAAACCTTCTAACACAAATCTTAAACTGTATAAATATTTCACATCATCTATCTACTGCTGACAGAAAATAAAAGTTTGTTAGATAGGCTTGCATTATGTTACAAGAATAATCCCACTCCGTCTTTCTTGTCCTTGTCTGTGTCTCTCTTCATTAATGACTAATATTTCCTCAATTGGATGTTTCCTGTCCTAATTTTTTTTTTCTGCAACTACTGTAGGCTATCGTAAATGTTCCAGTGTTTACTCTGTATCTTTATTGATTTTGTGTTGGTCTTGAATGCCGAGGAACCTTGAGATTCTTGGGAATACACAATGGCATTTTTTAAAATAGTTTTTTTTTAACCAAAATTACAGACAAACATTGGCACGTCACAAATTGGTGTACAAAATATCAAAGTGAATTATAAGGAGGTAATACAATCCAACAAAACAATAAAGCATTGTACGTCTGTTTGAGAGATACTATAACCAAAGAGTACCAAGAAGATGGGGAATGGAGAATGAGGTGAGAGTCAAAGGTTAAGAGGAAAAGGTTAGGGTGGTTGGGTCAGACGTGATAGAGTGGCGACCATGAATATAGTCCAAATAAAATAAGATGGTCTAATAGTTCCAGATGTTTAGACAAGGGATCAGTCCAGTATATTTCTGGAAATAGGTCCTTTATATTGGTACTAATGAACAGAAGAAATGAGACAGATTCCCAAGTGCGCAATATCCTATAAGGTCATCCATTCAGCTTTTTGTCACTCCTCGTCTAAACCTATTTCACAGATTCTTTAATACCCTGGACTGATGCTGCCTATGGTAATTTAGACCTAAAGAAAGTGACAGAGGATTGCGCCCCAAGTACACGTTGATATGGGTGAGGTATTTGCATGTGAAACTATTCCATGCACAATTGAACCAAAGTTGGTGCATGCATTCAGAAACTATTACAAATTAAAATGTACGTAAAAACAATAAATACATATTTTAATCCTTAATATTACCAGCTGTTATTTTCTAGTCAGCATTTCCTTTAATAAACCTAAATGGTGGTGGTATTTAGAAGACTGAAATTATAAAATATACCCTAAGCATTACTGTAATAATACATTTTACATCTAACAGGGTTGTTCACTAAACACTGGGTCTTGTTCATATGCATACAATCTGGTGGAAACGGCTGAATTCGAACCACACTGGCAACTTTCATATTTACTAAAGCTATCTGGCAAATATTTAAAAATACTCAGCTTAATCCTGTAATGGGATAGGCAGAAGGTTATCCTAGATATAAGATAAGATAAGTTAAGTTCCCTTAGGGTAATTAGCACTGGAGACCATCACTATATTTCAATATCTATCTGTACAATATAATTTGGCAAGGTCTAAATATATGAGATTACATTTTATAAAGGTTTGTGATGGGGGTAAAATGAATACAGGTATATATTAACAGCATACGACACAAACACTGATGTAAGTTGGGACTGTCCCCTAGAGGCTCTTATCCATGTGAGTTGACACACATGTGTTATACATTTGATATAAACCTTTTATTTAGATTTACACTATATGGTTTTTCCTTTTTCCTCTTTTATGTGTCTATTCATCGTTTCGGTCTTATATATATTTTTGGGTAAGTGTATACCCTTTATTTTATCCTATAGCGCTTCACTTCTGTAGCTACTATAGATTTGAGTGTTTATCTCAAATCATGCTGGTTTGTTTTTGAGCAATTCAGATCATTTGCCTGAATGAATCAGACACAGACATTAGATTTTATCTTTGATAAATAAAAGTATTTGCTTTGTAGGCAATAAGAGAAGTAAATGCCTTGCTGTACAGGATGTATAGAAGCAGGCAGCAGCTGGCCTGGGTTGCCATCAGTATATGTATTATTTTCTATCTCAATGACCAGCGTGAATCTATTGTACAGCTTACCTAGAAGTTTTTTTTCTCTATGAACAGATGGATACATCAGTTTTTGTTTTTTTTTAGTTCAAATGTAATTAAAATTGCATCCTGCTGGCGTGACCTAAAAGTGGAGTGTGGAAGCTGAAGGTTCACTGACACTGTAATTATGAACTAACAGGTTGAAGTTCTTGTTAAAAAAAAAAATAAAAAAAAGCCTTTTCCGAGCTGTATCTATGTTTTTGTAGTTAGAAAATAATGTGAGAAGATAGTAACAATCTAACCTCCCAGCATGCATCTGCCATCTGCTAGAGTTACACTCTTATTGCACTTTAAGTTAAAAAGCACCTTACCATGACTTCTTAGCTCTATCATAGTTATATCTTAGTATTGTGAAAATCTGCCATGATTAATGCAATTGTTCTTCTAAATTGTACATTATTTTTTTAAAGTTCATATATTTTCTCTTTTTTTTCCCAAGCAATGTAAATTATCATATTTTAAAATAAAAAATTTTTTTTTTGCGGTATGAGGTATTTTTGCTATTCTGACTTTTGATTAGAAAGTGTGCACTTTATGTGAAGCATGTAAAAAAATTATATTTCTCAGGCATTGGTTCTGTCTATCTACCTACCTACCTGTCTGACTCTCCATCTTTCTGTATGTCCGTCCATCCATCCATCACACTTTTAGAAGCCATTTGACAAAAAAAGCATGCCAATTGCTCTTCAGCTTCCTGTTTAATGCAGATGAAGACAGACAATTAGGAATTTCTAACCTTTTCAACAAAAACCATGAGATGGCACTTACAGATTTTTTGTGCCATGGCCTCTCTACTTATCTGTAATAATTATAATGCTTAGAATGCTCCTTTAAGCAATTTGTGACTTTTTGTTAAACACCCCTGAAGGCAAATTAATAGAATTTCTATTCAAGTCTGGTCCATTTGAATTTTTGTCATGCTTAAATTAGACGACAGTAAATTTAATGAATTTATTCAAAATGTCAGCCACCAAATTATTATAAATGGATCCATAAGATTTTCTGTTTTGAGTTTGCCATTGTAAATTTGAAATTTGCCTCATAATATCACATATGAGTTGAAGTTAAAGAGCATAGTCATTCAATTTACAGAAATATGACAAGTACTTATATACAAATGATTTTTTTGTTCTCTAATCAATGGTTGTATTCCCCAAAGACTGACAAGACTAATTTTTAGTCTTTTAAATAAAAAGTGCTTTTTTCATTTCCATATCCCTGGAATAGATTTTTCCCAAAATAAATGTATAATTTACATTTACTAAGCTGTATTCAATAGCGGCATCAAGCACGTTCACAAACAAATGACTAATTTCGTAAGATGATTAGATCAATTTCAGCCTCTTTTACTCAACGATTTACATTTTCTCTCAAGTGGTATTTTCGTGATATTGAGTTACCAAGACAGATAGTAAAATAAAATGTTCAAGTAAAAAGAAATATGACTAGAAACTGAAGCTTCAACTGATGCTTTTAATGCTACTGATCCTGTTTTATCTTGACATATTTATTTCATCTACGCTTGACAGAAAGCAAAGAGCAAAGAATTTTGGGCGGCAATGTTTGTTAGGCGATATTCTTTGAAGGAATTTCATAAACAACTTCGCCAAACAAAGAAAAACATGAATATATTCTGTAAAGCACCACAGTAAATAATTAGTTTAAAAAATGTCACATATTTGTGATGAATGAAGAATAGGCCAGTGAGTTAAAGTCCTTGGTCGTCCCAGTACATTTCTCTAGCACTTGTTGAGAAATAAGTTCCTACCTGTCTGCCAGATTTAAATTCCTTTGGAGTTGATATTTAATAATAGTTGGAAGAGTTGTGTTTGGTACCTAGATTTGCAAGGCTTCCTCCAAATATATTTTATGTTTAGAAGAAAGAAATATTAAAAGGTACCTGTCATGACAAAAATAAGTTAATCTTAAATGATAGAGAATAAACTAGCAGAATTACTAGCAAATGTCTAAATATCTAAAAAACCAGGAGTTGAAAAAAGCCTTTTCCGCATCAGTGTTCATATGTGCCAATCATAAAGAACAAGCATATAAAACCATGCTCCATTGGTACGTAACCCTCCTCATACTTAAGCAGATGCATCACTCCGACATAGACCTCTGTTGGAAGGCATGTGGGGAGAAGTGCACGCTCTTCCTACCCATCCTCCCCTTGCCTGGTATTCCTCAGTTCTATATAACTTCCTTCTTTTTCTCCCCCTCCCTCCCTCCTTTTTCTAATTTTTTTCTTTTATTTTTATCTCTCTTTCTCTTTTACTCCCACCCTTCTCACTCACCCACCTGAACCCTCTTTACTCCTGGTAGAAATGCCTTATCTGTCATATGTAACCATGATTGTGAAAGTGTAACATTACCACTTCCGTACATATATAACCAAAACAAACTGCACACCCACCCTGAGGGGTAACCACGACTATCTAAACATTTAAATTAGCCCTTGACATCTGGCCACTATGTATATGGCTCTATTGTACTGTATAACATTGACATCATTATCACTGTTATTCACTGTTTTTAAATTATATCATATGTGGACTGTATTTCAATGTACACCTTTTATTACAGCAATGTTATGCATTTTCTAAAATTGAGCAAAATTTAAAAAAAAAATAATAATTAAAAAAAAATAGTCCTTTCCCCCTCCTGTATCTCCTGCTTGAATTCAGTCTAAGGGAAATAAATACCTGCAAGGGGAAGTAGAGAATAAGATAGAGCAGCACAACCAGCAGCACAGAAAGAGGAGAGAAACAGCCAGAATTATTTATTGCAGCAGCTTTGGACAGGCAATCTTAGAATGGAGAGTGAAGACAGATACATTTTATTTGCATATATGACAACATATATTGTCTGGGACTTTTGACTTGTAATGGAAAGCAACACTGTGCTTCCCAAACAGTGGCATGGCAGGTGAGATATATCTTACAGCAAATGTAACATCTATTGAAAACATAATTCTCTCAGCACGAGATAGGAGTGTTTGAAATCATTTAAAATCTGAACTTTTAATGGCATGGTAAGAGAAGAAAAACATAATTGTACCACGAGTCAACCCAGTTGGTTAGAAAACTGCAAACCTATATCTTGCAAGACAGGTTCAATTTAAGAAAGATTTAGTACACTTGTGTGACATACTATCATACGTAAAACCCTGGAGCTTCTGGTTGATACCAAAAAACATGGGTGCTTTAAGTTTGGAACTCTTGACAAGGTCTGCCAATGCAATATGAAAGTAGACTCATACTCAACTTCTTTCTTCATGCAGGACAAAAGGGAGTTTTTCATTCCTTGCAGAAGTTTGCAATGCCAGCTACTTAATAAAGATAATAAATAATATTTCAACTATGTTACATAAAGTTATCGAAGGTATCCTATATAAAGTTTCTTAAATCAATCAACTACCCTTTGTAAGTGTTTTGACTGTGGTTATGCTGAAAGTGGAGCTGTGTCCTTATTAACATATTCTCCAAGGTCAATCTCCAAGTCCTTATTTAAGGTACCTCTTAGAACCTGGCATTTATAATGAGCACCTTTTCTTATTCAATACTGCTCACGGCATTCCCCGAGTAGAACATGGCATGCTGGATATTGCGGATGCCAAGCACAACATTTTCAGTGGAAGGATATATGTGAGACTTGGTGGCGATTAAAATGACTTTTAGGTAAATAGATCTTTCAGTTTAACAGGTTTATTCTTAAAAGTGAGAGTTGTTGGTAATCCATGGTGAATTCCAAGTGAATTTCAAATGTAAGACCAAAGTATCTGATCTAGAAGCATCAAGCAGGATACACTGAACTAGAAGCAGTGTCAGAATGCACTAAGAACCAACATGCAGTACTTAAGGTAACAGCTAAACTAGACCTGAATAATAAAGTGTGTTACCGGGCTTTAGAGTGGACTGACTCAATGCTATATGCTGTAGAGTTATATAAAACAAACAAAAAACAAACAAAAAAGTGAGGGACACTAAATAAGACAAGGTGTGATAAGACAAGACAAAGGTCAAAGGATATAAAAAGAAGATAGTCATGAACCAGCCTAGGATCGAAAATCTAATGACATATACAAGATAAACATGCTTTTTGATAACGGAAAATGGAAACCACAACAGGGCATAGATTAACAGAAACTGAGCGTATATCTAGCTTTAAGTAGGCAGAGATTGGTTTAAAGCACCTATATGAAGTAATCACATGCATGTGCATCCTTTTTGTGATGACGCACGCACATCCCTGTCATCAACCTTGCCTGAGGAGACAGAGTCTTAAAAAAGCTCCGATCTGCCGCGGGCGGCGCTGCACAGAATGTCAAAAGAAGCAGCGTTTACATTCAGGAAAGATGGAGGTGATGTTCAGGAAAGATGGAGGTGATCCTTACGGTATACTGAGTGCATACGGACACAGGGATTTTTTTTTCCCAGTTTGGCTATTGTGGTCTTAAAATTAAAATATGCATTGAATTCACATTGGATTTCCAACGATTCTTCCTTTAGTGATTAACTCTCTAGTGAGTTTGCCAGCACAGTATCCCATCAATTTTATATATCTATTTGAAGAGCACCATATATTTTATATATTTTGTGGGTGTTTGCTTCCCCTTCTCTGGCTGTCAGATATTTAATGGGCAATATTTAAAATTATTCCGCGTAACATAATTTGGCAGAAATGTTGCCAATGTCTTTCCTACTTGATGCATAATGCAACAGTTTTAATAAGTCTCCAGTTTCTGGGCTTCGATGAAAAAAAAGTAATTGCATTGGGCACCTCAATGTATTTTTCTATATTCCCAGCACTTGTAATATTTTAACCTAAAATATTCACGAACTTGGCTTAGACATGACTGCACAAAATGCATTCGATTTTCTCGTTTAATTTCTTTTGTAATTGAAGTTTAATACAAGTGTAATCATGTTTCGGTTTATTGACTTGGCTTGGTCGCTGATCTTACGATCTAAACCTGGCAGAAAGAAATCAGCTAATCAGATACAGACACAAAAACAGATGCAATGAAATAAAAATAATATTTAAAAAAAAATGCTAATGGGATGCAATTTTAATTTCCAATTATCAGGGAATATGAATAGCAAAAGTGCAGATCTGCGTGTGTATATCTTAGCTCTTCGTTAAGTGCGTATACATCCAGTAAATGTATCTAGAAAACTCATCACATATACCTGCACAAATGAACATCAGGCAGTTGTTCCCTAATAAGCCCAAGACAAGGGAATTCATATTTACTTTCCTAATTGAAATACAGGATGTAACATCTTAATGTCCACATCATAAATAAAAGAAGCAATAAACAATAAGTTATAAGAATGTGACTTATCAAAAAGAAATATATCTATTATGCAAATCAGATATGAATATGCTAATAAATAAATGTCTATGTGCCCATGTGTATTACTGTCAGGTGTTGGTGTATGTGTTTATCGGAGTATTTGTGTGAATGTATGTGACTTTCAATCTGATTTGATGATGTAGTTTGGTCAGTTCTTTCCCAACATGGCATGATTGAAATTTAACCAATCAGTGTCCACTTGTACTTTCTGCATTCTCTGCATTCCACAATGAACTTTCCCTATTTCCATGGGGCATTCTCCAAATGTATCTTACGCTTGC